AGCCAGGGTGACAATAGGCGAGCTTATCCAGCTGCGATACGATGGCCTCTTTGACGCGAGGGTGACCATGTCCAACAGCGGAAACACCAGCACCGCTGGTGGCATCGAGGATTTTCTGTCCACTTTCCAACGTCGACCATATACCAGAGCCCCCTGGGACGGTCATGGGTGGGAAGGCATTGGTTCTCTTGTAGAGGTGTGCGGTCTCGAGAGGCATACGCATGATGGGTAGAGATTTGGGGGGCTATAAGACGCTGGGAGCTTTGAGTTTGGGGCTGCTGGATCTACTGGTCATATAAATACCTCGCTAGACCTGCTACATGCCCCAGTAGACGACGCGACGGTAAGGAGTTGAAGGCTGCACGGCCAAATCCAGCTTTTGATACGCAAGTGGAAGTTGGCAGTTTTTTTGAATAGAAAGAAGCCCTTTCGTGTCATTGAACGAAATATGAGAATCTCTTCGCCTCATGGGCCATGAAATTTGTTTGTCACTGACAAACGCCGCTGACGTACCGGTTTCTCAGTTCGGATTACAAGTGAAAAAAAGTGACTAGGGTCTATATTTACCGATGTTACAACGCCACCTTGGACCCATTCATAATTCGGTTGACAGGCGATAGTTTGAAGGCTAGCTTTGTCTTTCTGGCCCAATCATGAATTCGAGTTTCCGCGGGAAGTGTCCCTGTTAATTTAATTCAGTAAATGAATAAGAGAAAGTGTATTTTTCATGGATATAATATCTTTTCGGGTGCAGATGGGGCGGCTGGTTTGCTGGTTAGGCATGCAAAGAGGGATGCACTACGGTCGCTATCTGAATTGGCCAATGAATGACCTACTTTGCATCAAGAAGTAGATCAGAATGCGCTAGACCTTCGACTTTGTTTATCCTATTGGATGACGAAGCCATTGTTGACCAGTTAGGAATCTCGACCGGCTGAAAGTTCTTCCAAACTGGATGCAAGAGGCCCCGAAATAGGTATATCTATTCGAGCTGAAAATTCAACGAAAATTTCCGTTGTATTGATCCCGTTTCAATCACTTCCTGTGACAAAGGGTTGGAGTGGGTGAGTCTAAGAATGGTCCGTGTCATGACACCCTTTATTATCCCAGTATAAGCGGGAGTCCTGAGTATCGACTAAATGACAAAGATCCCATATGAGGATTCCGAATTAGCGTCAATTTATGAGCCTAAGGCAGAGGTCAAACCTCCACGTTATTAATGAAAGGCAAAATTTGGATGAAAACAGTCATTAATCACAGGTATATGGTAACTCCAGTTTGCTGGGCACCCTAAATTCTCACATTACCTGGTAGAGTTAACGAATTGGAGCATCTGCTCCTCAATAATGTAGAGTCTAAGCGAGGGTTCGTTTTCTAGCAGGTTCGGTCATGGTATCAGCTACTCGCACGAAGTTTAATATGTTCAATCTGGATATCCAAAGACGAGAATCATGGAGAGGCAAAGAAGTATGGGGGTAGATGGGGCTTCGGAAAGCTCGAGCAACGGATTTGACTATTTGGTAAATGCCAAGTGCCGTATCGAGTTGTTTAGGCAGGAATGCAGAGAACTCGGAGTTTTCCAGTAGAGTGAAATAGAGTAGGAAGATGCGACCTTAGCTTGTTCATTGATTGAGCCTTCGAGGCACCTGACATGGTCAGATGGACTTGAACGCTTTTTATTTTCGTCAGCTAAAGCAGAATATAGAGCAATACAGTAACTTCTAATGGTCGATATCTATTGTTTACGCAACTTCCAAACATTCCTTATTGTCCACTTCTT